TACCAGCCCTACTGATCTACTTACAGATATAATAACTTTCTCTTGCCCCTAACCTCAAAAAAACTGTCGTCAAGTCAGATCTGACTCCTAGCGATCCCTCCTTAGGTTTCCAAGGCAGTATCACTACGGAAGTAAATTGCCCCTAGACCTTTACATATTCCCTCCCTCTAATGAAATATCATTTCTTCTTACTACTCCCCAGCTCTGTATCTGTTTCCTGGATAATTCCTTCCAGTCATAGGAGCAGTTCTACCCAGTAGCCACTCTCTGTCTATTTAAGACTACATAAGACCCCTTTCCCCACAATATGTTTCCATAATCAACTATAGTTATTCCACACAGAATAACTTATCTCATGGAATCGACATTGTATATTTACTTGTCTCATACCTCTTAACTAGTGTAGTGCAACAGGATATTAAATTGAAAAGTTAGTGGAAGCAGCAAGAGATGATACTTAGAGACCAATGTGAACTGTGAATCAGACCAACAGATTTTTAAATGGGCTGATCATGAATCCATTAGACAATCTATAAATTCACCTCTTCTGTCAAGAATATGGAAAACTCAGGAATGGGAGGATTTGCAAAGAAAATTTCTTTAGAGAAAGCCGTGTTGGGAATCACCCTTCACTACTCTTTCCTCCATCCCCTCTCCCTCATTGCAGGAAGTAGCTGAGTTATAGTTACATTACACAATAGGAACTCAAGTAATACTAGCTGACTAAATGAACTGTGCACCTAAATTTCTCTGCATCATCACCATTCATTTCTCTCTTTTTTACTGTTTCAGAAGAAGTATTTCTTCTTCTATCCAAAGTTGAGCCTAAGCTTAGTTTTTTATTATTTCCCCTTTGTGCTTCTTTTAGGAAGCAATCCATTAATTTTTTCTTCTCTCCAGTTTTTAATTTCCACTCAATCTTTCCTACTCTAAGAACATGTACAAGTTTCTCTTATCATTAACATCTGACTTCTTCCAAAAATAGAGAAATTAGGTCTGGATTTATGCTCCTGCATAATACAACTAAAGTCCTGGACAAAATATGTGAAACAGTTGTTGTTGGACACTACACATCAGGCAATGTAAGAGAATGATCCCTCAGGGATGGGAAAGAAACAAGGTGAGTCCTATGATTTCTGATACTTGTAGAGACTTTTCAGGCCACAACACAGGGACCCTGTGGAGGCTTGAAGTCTCCCTGAGTTGAGGTGATATATTAATGGATTTTGGGAGACCAAAGGTGCTAGAGTTAGCAGAGTATCAGACAGGAAAGAGCTACCCACAGCGAGAGATCCAGAGGTCACCAAAGGATCCCTATTGTGTCTTTAAATGTTGATCAGCCCCTGTGGGTAAAGAACTTACTCTAGTCCAGAAACATTCCAAAGGGTCAGAGGAGCAATCTCAGGAGCTCATAAGAGAGCACTAATAGTTTATACTTCCCCCAGCCAGAGTGGAAAATCTCCTAATTAATGGAGCATTGAATGGAGTATTCAGAAAGGTACTGCCTCAGTACTAGAGCAAAGCTAGCTTTAGATTAAAGGCTGTTCTGTTCCTGCTGTAAAAAAAAAAAAAAAAAAAATTAAAAGCCTGCAAATTCTCAACCTGCTTCCAAAAATGCAACTGAATCACAGAACAGTCCTCATAAATATTAACAAGAGGACAAAAATGTCCAGAATCCAACAAAGTCAAGTTAAGTACATAAGACACATGATAAAAACTTAGCAGGTATACAACCTGATGGATAAACTTAAGATATAGAAAGAAGCAGGAAAATATGATCTGTAATGAGGATAATAATAAATCACTGTAAATAGACCTAGAAATAATACAAATTAATCAATTA